TTAGTCTGTTATCGGCATATGTGCATATTGTGCGTACGCCTCGATATTGCCTTAATTCACAAGCTTTTTGTAAGCAATGATGGATAGTGGCTAGGAGTGGGATCCAGGATGCGCGTTTCGTCCTATTTGGGACTCGTCATCTGAATGTACCTGCATCTCAGAGTTGATGTAGCTAAGTGGATAACGCGATGGCGTTTGAAGTGAATGGTACCGGGTTCGAGTCCAAGAGTGAACATCAACTCTCTGATATGCAGGTACATCCAGCTGACGAGTCCAAAATAGAACTAAACGCGCATCCTTGATTCCACTGCCAGCCACTATCCATCATTGCTTACAAAATAGACAGAACGTTTTACATTTCCTTATCTTCCTTCTAATTCTTTACAATACAATAGAAATTTAACTCAGAATTGAGAAAGTTCGAGAAATTATTTTTTTTTAAATCTTCTACAAAAAATGGACAATAAATCTATTCATTTTTCTGTTATCTATACATATTTGTTACCGTTTATTTTACCTTAGTAAATAACTTCAGTTGCGTGACCAGAAGAAATTAGTATAAATTCTTTAACCCTAGTAAAATTTTAAAAATCCTTTATATCTAGCTATGGATAACTTTGAAAAGTAAAAGTCTATTCATTTGTAAATCATATATTTATCATTACTTTATACTATCAACAATTTGTTGCCTTATATGTTATATCATCTACAGTTTTTATGATAACATTGTTTTTTAAACATTGTTGTAACGCATATTGAAGAACTAATATGTTTGATGCTTTAGATAAAAAAAGAATACATATTTACTTTGCTTTATTTATTATCTGTTTTTAGATTTCTATGTTTAGGATGGATGAAATTCAAACACCTTAGTAACTATTGTTAGGTTGTCTTCAAATTCAAATGTAGTTGTTAATAAAGTTGTTAATACATTTGTAATAACCAAATTAGTAGAAAATTAGATTTTTGGCGTTTTGTAACTATGTAGCGGACTTTTCAAGAACAAATTGTTATTTACAATCTATCCAATGTTCAATTTATTTGAAATTACGAAGTCGAATTCTAGTAATGATACATTCAAACTCAATGAAGTGAAAAGTTTAACTCTGACGACTTAATCAGTTAAATGTTTTCTGAAGATTTTACAGTATATGTAAGAAGATATGAAGTTATTGTAGTCTTCTTTTGAAAAAAAACGATACTTGGTTTACACGCGGTAAAATGTATATAAACAATACATCTTAAATACTGCGTATCTACGTCAAAAGCATATAGTGAAAATTCCAAAATTAAGCTAGAAAACAACGTAGTTACTTACTTACTGACTTACGCGTGTTACGGCTTATGCTCCATTGGGAGTAACAGGCGTAAGTAAGTAACTAAGTTGAAAACTGTTAACGCTCTTAAATTTTAAAAAGTACTCGCCAGAGCAAAAATACAATTTTTATTATGTTTTGGCATAAAAAGCAGTTTACGAAACCAACGTACAAAATATAGCTTTGCCATGCTCTTTCAAATCGATAGAAATGAAAGATTTTTCATCTTTAACTTCGCATAGAGAGCTCTTCAGAAAGGAGTATCTCATTGTTCGTTGAACGGATATGCTATCTACTACAATGATTTGTGACCTTTTTCTGTTTGACTGGTACCACGAAATTATTTCGTTATAGACACAATTAATGTCTTAAGATCAGTGACAAGTACTAGGAATTATGTTGCATTTTTTGCTACAGTGTATTATATCATCAAAGTAAATCCTTTAATATTTGATTAGCACCGTAGCGTAGAAAACAGTGATTTATTCAACCACCAAATTTCTATGTATTCCTCTTTTAAATGTCCTATCTGTTCTCTGATTCTTATAAATAATTACTTTGTTCATTACACTTACCATTTCGTTTTTCTAATCATTGAGTCAGTCCTTCTACATAGTTTTATAATCACTAATGATATTATAAAACTACTGCTTGGTATGTATTATTTTATCGTTATCAATAATATATATATATATATATATATATATATATATATATATATATATATATATATATATATATATATATATATATATATATATATATATATATATATATATATCAGGAAAGAACCATGATGAAAAACTAATTGGAAAGAACTGTTTCTTTGTTTCGTTCATTTTGTTTTACCAACTTCTGACCAATAATTTAATTTTGTACAATAATTGGATATTGACTAAGCATATCACCATCCTATAAAAAACTAGATATGCACAAAGTATGAAGGAAAATATATCTTTAATTAGAAAAAACTATTTCTCAAACTAGGATATAAAGATAGTTATATTTTGAAAAAGCGTATTACATTAATATAGATATAACAGACTTGAACCAAAACGATTCTGCAGTAAAATATCTTTTAACATTATAATCTTTTATATGTCTAATTAGAAAAGATAAACCTACAAGAAGTTTGTTATATCTTGAATGTTGATTTCTTGATATACCGCGTATAACAGAACACTAGAACAACAAAGCCCTTCCAAATCGCAATAAGAAGACAGAAGACTAATGAGAGGAATATTGTTCCAAACAGTGTCAATCATAGTACAAGATTGTCAGGTATTTATGGTTTTTATTAAGAACGAAATCATCATTACAGTCCTCCAATCCGCATTCGGGGGGCTATTAGCATTATCCAATTGGGAAGCTACACGTAGGGATTCTAGGATATTCTTCCGAAAGGTGGTTGGATAGAAAATCTTCGGCTCTTTCTGAGCCTCTTACAGCTTCCTCGAGTTCACCGATGGTCTGTCGTCAGAAAAAGTTATAAACATGTACAACGTACGTTTTTTTAAAAAATATTTCAAAAAGGGATTTTTATGGATATTATAGTAATTTTAATAGCAGAGATCATGAGTCAGTTGAAGTTAGACCACCACGAAAAACAGAGAATGATTGGTGTGGAAACGAAAGAACAATGAAGTCTGAAACGATTGATTGACATTTTGCAAATGAAATATTTACCATATGGTTCTCAGATTTCACTAAGATATTCTGTAATTTTATATTCCAATACACTCGATTGTTCCCACTTATGTTATCATTCACCACAGTATATTAAAATTTATAAAGTCGTAGTGAGATTTTCATTCATAGCTCATGGAGTGATAACCTTTCGTTATTTCGATACTTTGTTAATACTTAGTTGTTAAATATTATTTAAAAAATAATACAGTTTTATCATATTCATTAGAGAAAACATAGGTAGTATTTTTATACGAACTGATTAACTAATTAAATATCGTGTTCATTTAAACGGTTAAAGTTTTCTTCACTGAATGACTTTCATGAGAAATAACAAGGTTTATATCAATACCTAGCAATAATAATAATAATAATAATAATAATAATAATAATAATGAGTAAATAATCGTTTTCTTATATTCACTATTGTTGAATAAGTTTCTACATTACTTCTTAATAAACTTATCATTTTTCCTGATTATTACAGATCATGAAAACCTTGTTTACTTCAAATTATTTATTTTCATTCCGTAAAACAAAACAACTATTTATTCAAAAATACGTGAATATTTCCCCTAAAAATTCACAATCTTGTATACAATTATTTCATTTTATGTAAACATTTCATAAAGATGTGATATGCTAAGAAATGAGAGTAAAGAATAATCTAAATAATGATTAACTCAGATTGAACACATGCAACTGAAATAGTTTTTGGTGGAGTTTTGTTCTCTAAACTGGATAGTTTGGTCGTAGAACTTTCATCGTTATATTCTGAACGACATCATCAGTGCAAACTTCAGGTAGAAGTGAAGTGTTCGAGAAATGTTGATGAAATAAAATGAAAGCTTCATAACCAAACCATCCAGATCACAGAACAAAAGTCCACTAAAATCATCCACCTGAGCTTTAAATCTTCTCCACCATCTCAAAATTGAAATAGTAAAATGAATTGGAAGAATAATTAAGTACATTTTATATTGATTCAAGATTTATAAATAACTTCCAAATTTTTATTCTGGTGATTATTACCTATATAAAACAATTCAATGAATCTAAGAAAATGTCTTGTTGTTAGAATCCAAGTATGTTATGTAAAAGTTGACATCAAGCATGCTAAGATGCCATATACTGTTAAAACTATTTCCATACAAACTGAGTACTGCTATGACAAATTTGTTTATGGTATTTATATCTTTCTATAGTGGGTAAAATGTTTTTCCACAAATTCTGTTTGACATTGAACTTATTATTAATGCATCATCATAGTTCAGTAGTGAGTCTCAAACTGTTCGATTGATGTGATTTTGACTCATAAAAGAAAACAAAAACTCCGTTTTTAGAATGTCCAGATGGTTATTACGCTTTATATCCATATATTTATGCTGATATTATGATAATCAAATAAAGTTTTCTTTCACTTACATTTATAAGCGTAGTTAGTTGGTCAGTGAATTTACTTTCAGTGTTCACCTTTAAGTTCCCAAATTCTGGATTGATTGTTACTTGTCTTAATTTTTCTATGGATGAACTTATTAAACACAATATTCGGATTTCTTGATTATATACCTACTCCATGTTAGATCATAAAGCTGTGAACAATCGAATTCAATCGTGTTAGCTGTGAAGCAGTTGCCGATCGAAGACAATAGAAGAGGGACGCGTGACATCAAGGATTGATTGGAGGTAGAAATTAACACTCTTGGGTCCCGGTTCAGTGGTCTGAAGATTAAGCGTCTTTGCGCGAGACCGACGGTACTGGGTTAGATTCTCGAGAGTGGGACTGTGAATGAACACTGTTGAGTAGTCCAATACTTGGACGAAACGGCCATCAGTGCTTACAGGTCTTCAATAGTGGTTTAACATTGATCAATTCACTAAACTAAACAACATTTTTAAATATCCAAATGGAGCTCATATATTTAATAAACTTTTTGTTATTTGAATGACAGCTTAAGTCATCAATAATTATCTATGATATAACTTTCTCTTTTTTAGCCAATACCCCATTCAGTAAAATTCACTTTGAAATGTTTGGCAAAATACACATTCTAATTTTTTTGCTTTCAACAATTATGCTTTATAGCATGCAAACAGGTGAGTAGAAACGAAAACTGAACTATAATTTTAATGATATGAAATTATATGAGTATTTGTTTGTTTTAAATAATTTAGTGATACTGTTTACGTTTGAATAACCCTTATAGACATTCTGACTAGTGATATATTGCAGGTAGTGATGATTACTTATATCATATATTATAACCTTTACTATACACTTTCCTGTATTTATTTTAAACTGAATGAGAAAGTAAAGGTCAACCGGAATGAAAATTTAATGGGATTTTCGGACACTCAGTTCAAATAGAATGGATCAATGCGAACACAGGGTTACGGAAATATTAGATAATCTTTCTAATTAAAATAAAAACTGACAAGAAAGGATTTGTGTGCTTTATTTTAAAACATACGGTGCACGCTTTGAATCAAAGTATTATTGTATATATAAGCTTAAACATTACAGTATGCATAACCGCACTCAACATATTATCTATGGAACATAGGACAAAGTGAATCGAATAGCCAATTGGTTGCTAAATGATAGGAGTTTATGACCATGAAAAATATTTTATTCGATGCTGTTGCAATGACCTAATGTCCTGTCTGACAACGACCGACGTTCCTGACGGTTTATAGAAGCTGTACATAAATAATATGCTTTCATTGAGAAATAACGTATACAACACATATCACTAAATTCATAAGATTACATGAAGTTGAAGTTAAACGTTTGCAGTGAGTAGAGAGAATATTATAGACGAACTCAGATAATGAAATTATTCCACAAATAGAAATGCCATTTTAAATATAATCGAAGAATACTTTTGTTTATATGAGTTTACGGAGTGTCATATATATCATGTAATCGGTAGTATAAACTTTATAACCATTCATATTGTTATAACGCTCGGTTTTACTTCGTCTAATGTTCTAACGGTTGGCTTTCCACGTTTACACGTATTAGACGTTAATTTACCTTAAACGAAAATCTACACTAGATTCCCCCCCCCAGTGTCTATTCTACACGACTTCAACACAACTCAGATCAAGAACACGTGGTTAGCTTGACTACAACGTGAAAATATTTCCATACCAAAACCCGACACAATCCAACAACAATGAATAATCAATAATAAGTGAGTAATATTAGTAATAAGGATAGGGGAGTATATAACTCATCTGACACCTGTCAGACTATCTACTTGTCTGACTAAGCAGACAACCAATTATTATCATTCTCGCCCACACATCACATATATTTTCAATTAAACAATAAAACAGTAATAGATTGTATATTTATCCAACATTATATAGTATGCCTTGTGAATAATACCAGCATTATTTTCTTGTCATTTTTTGTGGTACAATTTTACTTGTAGCTTAGGTCCGGCTTATTTGCATTTGAGTCAAAAGAGTTATAAGCAAGTGGTATTGGTTAAAAATCATACGCTTACAACGTTGACCATTTACAGCATATGTTTAGTTACTTACAACTACTAACTGCCTTAAATAGACTTCTCTTCCTATCATGATAGTTTTCTGTCTTGTAAAATGTTAAGTATTTCTAAGTACGGCTAAAAAGCAAACCCACATTGTTCAGAACTATTCATAAAGTTACTTCGTAATTATTTTCTTTATAATTATAACAAACTCTATGATTTCTCATCTTGTATTCGATATACTTGTTCTAGTAACAGAGTGTCATTTTGATTCATTGATTAGGTATGAGATATTTAACTGACATAATTTCCTTGGTATCTGATGTTCATTTTAACTAAAGACTGGGCTCATTTTGAAGAGCTGTGAATTTGATAGAATTTACGTGACACTATAAGGTTGTTCTCTAACACCCAAGGCTATGAACGTGATTGAACGGGGATCGATCAAGTCTCCTGAAAACTGTAATACCTTCAATCCACTCAGTTAGGTTGTCACTTCAGTGAATGTGCGATTCTTCATAATCATCAACCAACACCACAGGTGATAACTATTTCTTTCCTGACATAATGGAGTATTATAAATTATGTCTTTTCATTAGAATTTTATTGATATTTCTCCTAAGTAACAACTAGTGACCATATATTTGTTTCTTAACTAGGGAACAGTTTTTGTCATTGAATGATATGAAATTTAGTAGACTTTACAAATCATTTTTCACGATTTCCTTGACGGTGTTTTAAGTATAGACAGGTGTAACATTATAAAACTTCACGTTTTTGGTATTTATTTATTAGATTTAACAAGATCCAACAAAGATTTATTATTGATATATAATCAATGAAAGTTTTTACCGTCATATTTTATTTTATTATTGCTTTAGCTAATAAAATTAATGGAGAACCAATGCGTCGATGGTATCCTTTAGGAGTTGAAGCCTCTAGAAAACCTTCATTCAGTCAAGGTGATAGTGTTGCTGAACTAGAAATTCCTTATAATGGTGATCAATATGATTCAGAGGTTATGAAACGAGCTGTTCGATTAATGAGACTTGGTTAATGAAAAGAAAAAAGAAAAAATGTTGACAGAATAATAATTCTAACTAATATAAATGTTCATTAAATAAGAATTTATAATACATTTATTCATTACTTTTTTATTATTAAGTAAATTGTTTTATCATAACAATGAATTCTACATTATATGCTGATAGAAACATATATTTCATAGTGCAATGATTTTAGATTTTTTCTTTAAAGAATATTATGGAACAGTCAGGGAAATTTTTTCCTTTAATAAATACATAACAACTAATTCAACAGTAAATCACTGTACAGTTTTAAGTATTCAAAGTTCAAGTAGTTTCTCATTTACATTGTAATTTCATCACGTAATAGTTATTAAATATGTAAAGCGTATATTACAAGATCGACTAAACTAAACTAAACTGAAAGTAAGAAACCTTTTTGGCGAGACTCTAATTTATGGACGAGCCAATCAGAAGCGTTCTAGAGATTTCAAAGTTACGGCACCAACTTCAGTGCTTAACGCTAACGTACGACCAGTTCACAGGGAATTTTATACAAAACGTGATAATTGAGTGGCTATAACAAATAAAATGGTGGAACTATAATTTGTGCACGAATCAATCAGGTATAAGATAATAGATCTCGGATTTTAACGTGAAAGCCTTCCATCCATTCGGCTAAATAAATTTCTGGCATTATAGCTGATATCAGTTCGTGATGAAAACCCCATATATAATTCCCAACTAAGGTAAATTATTACAATTATTGCGAACTGGATAATAAAAGCACCAGTAACACTGGCAGCAGCCAGGTACTACAATATATACGGATGATTGGAGAGTGTACAGACTCCTACATAGGCTTGGTTATGTGCATCGTGTCGTTATCCACAAGTAGCATTTTGTGCACTCAACACCTGGAGTACACATAAACAATATTGAAGCTATGTGGTCGAGGCTGAGAGTTTTTGAGACTTTATCATGACTCCAGAGGCCGACTATTCTGTAGCCGTATGGATGATTTCATCTACTGCATACATTACGATTTTAGAACCTGTGAACCTCTTTCTAACCTTGACAAGTTTTTGGACCACGTATACGAAGTGTATCCACTTTATTTCCTTGGTTTTGTATAACATATTTTTACTCTATACTGACTGTTTGCTGATTGGTTAATATTTCTCAAGGTCGCTTAGGATTCGTTCAGAGGTCATCCGTAAATTAGTCTCGCCAATTTTTAAAAAAGTGCTCTTTGATTTCAGCGAATGGAACTAAAATGGTCGTCAAAACAATTTGATCAAACGAAGATGGAAATGATAATTAACAATAGACTAAACGTTGATTACTCTTATTATGTGAACAAGAATAATATGCTTTGATAATCTGATTGTAAACTTATCTCTTTTTTTAGGGGAATTCGAAACACTTTTTTCCATTAATCACACTTAAGGGATTTTTATTATGTACCATATACTACTTTTTGATAAGTGATTTGTTCAATAAACCAGGCTATCAACAACTAAAATATACATCGACACATGGGTTTAGTTTAAGAAATCTGTAACTTCTGATTTGAAGTATAGGTAATGATAATCATTCCCCTCCGATTGATATTTAAAGTAACATAGGACTAAAGATGCATTCATTCATCATTATATCGTTCCAGATGTTAAGTTTTATGTATATAAAATATGTTTCTTTATTCATTTCACTTGTTTTTCTCGAACTATGCTTTGCATATATGGTAATTCGAAGATATTGCTTTTCATTAAGTCAATATTTTACTGTTGTGAAGCGTTAAGAATCCGAATTATATATGTTTGTGTCAGGTTCTAAGTTGCTTATGAATAGTTGACTAAATTTATGTGGAGTAGAACTACTAAGGTACTCAGATCATCATTGACTAGATGTATGGAACAACGTGGATAGAAACGAATGAAGACTAGTTTTTCCGCTCTTCTGAAACCTTGATATCAGTGTACATATATGTTTTATTTGACACTATTAAAATTTTGTGAAAAACATCCACTGACCACTTTCTCACATAGTGAAAATCGTTGCCGATTTAGAGGTAGGAATTTGTTTTTCGCAAGCATAATCTTTATTAACTACAGCAACAAAGCAACGCCTTATTTAATATATAAACTGATATGAATTAGGTAAACTACTACAATTTGTAACAGAAAACAAATATCATAAACAATGAATTACAAAACGTCGAGTGAGTGATCACTTAAACTTAAATGTTAATTACAACAGCGGCTTGTATGAAAATGACATAATATGACATTAGGAACTTCCAACAAAATTTCACAAACACATCTTCGCATTCCTTTTCAGTCTTTTTCAATCAGTATACATTCTCTCAACTCTAAGATTATTGAACATAGCTTTTGACCGTTGTTACACTTTCTGTTCCGATCTGCAAAAAAGGAATTTCAGGCTTACTAACTGTTTTCAACAAATTCACATCACAGTTCTTTATACAAATGAATCACATATTTGGAAACTGACAATCTGTATCTTACCAAACTTTTGATAAATATATCATCAAAGAATATTTTTATAGGCTCCTCATAATTGTGCTTTGAAATGACGGTTACAAACTTTAACAAGATAAAACTGTGTCTTCATAATTTCCAATCATAGTAGTTGTTTAAATTCAATATAAGATATTGTCATTAGTTACAAATACTTGCAGGTAAACACTATTATGTTCAGCGAATAAACAATCATAAAAACTTTCAGGTTGTTCAATAGTCACATTTGGATTTCCTCTGGACAAATAAACATGTTTCGTATACTGATTCACATCGTCCACCAATTCATTCCCGAAAACGCCAATTCTTCAAATAGTTCGGTATAAAACTATGAATAAAATTTCTGTAAAACGTCAATCATTTAATTATCAAATCGGTAACAAATTCCATTTTATCTGATTAACAAAGCTTGCTTTATTAGAGGATTAGACAGACGTGTAATTATGGATTAAATGGAGATTTTCAAAGCTTTTGTGTGAAACAACTTTCTGATGCATAAAACATTGGTTTAATCTAGTCAATATCTTAAATATGTATTTCAAAATAACTTCTAAAATACATGTTAAATGTTTCCAAATCTTTAAATAATTATTCATTATGTTTTACTGAAAACATAGTTACTAAAATTTAATTGCCATACTAAAACATCTAATGTTGACGTTATATTTTAGTATCTTCGTTAATAAATTAGAACTGTATTTAATCTGTCAGTGACTCTGATATAATGCTGGTTTTCTACTAAAATCAAGATTATCTATATATCTCAAAATCTTTAGTCAACCCCCCCCCCTATAGTAGTAGTTTAACTTTGTTATATTTGTTGTCGGTGTGACTCACGAAGGACAGTTTCCATGAGGTTTAGCTGCTCTGCATGATAAGGCGTCTACATTTTATTACTGTTTACCGGACTTATGGATGCATTTGTATTCATGTTCTTGTAAGCACTCTTACTATCGAGCAATCTTTCCTTCGTACTCTCTAAAGTTATGTAACCATATCAAAGCTGTATTATCGGTTCTAATAACAAACTGACGTCTTAGTAAGTAATGTCGAAAGTAGCGCACAAATTAAACGACTGTTAACATCAATTTGCGTGTTGTACAATTATTTTTTTCTGACTTATGTGACATTCTACTTCCGTATGCAATAACCTTTTCTTTTCCGTCTGAAGAAACTTCTTATAACACAGAACCGATAACTTAGTTACTTGCATAGGTGTCTAAGATGAAACGGCCAGTAGTGGAAAAATAGTCTGAATATGATAAATTGGTGTCAATTATAATAACTCTTTTAACTGGTCGAAAGATTGTTGGCACCTACCAGTCCGTTCGAAGTTAAAAATCACGGAAAATATTTAGGTAGACCTGTAATAAGTTGATAAACCTAGGAAGTTGCGGAGTCCATTAGTAGTTTCAAATAAGATCGATGTTATTTGCTATTTGAAAGTATTCCTTGATCATCAAATACATAACCTAGGAATTTAACTTGCTTCCTCATCAGGCAGCAATTCGATGGTTGTACTTTGAAATCAAAATTTCTGAAAGCGTTCTATTTATTTATTTATTTATTTTAACACATAGATATTGGTACAAGGAGTCACCAAATACATATGCGCCACACAAATCTCATTTGATATGTGTGAGGGCTGTAATACTTCCCGGATGCCCAAACCGAAGCACGTGGTTTTCTTAGGCGGCCACAACTGGAGCCTTCGACCTGAAGATCTGTTCCACAAGGCAGTGGAGCGTCGTAAGGAGATGAAGTCCCATGGTAACCGGTGACCAACAATAGGTTCATATGCCTATTGTCTCCTCAGGATTCTGGAGACCATGTGCACCATTGGTTTGGAATCAGGGTTATCCAACCCCCCTAGGTGGACTCTTCATGTCCACCAACCCAGTTAAAGCACCAAACATTCGCTTTTCGTCCTATCAATTTCATAAACAACACCCCCTCCACAAGAAGGTAGTGAGTAGGACTTCCCTGGCAGAGGCTATATACGCGTGGCCATGTAAGAGCATTTCGAGAGGGTGAGCGGACTCTCCCCACTTTCGGCCATACCAGGGCATTCGGGGGCAAAGCGTTCTAAAACTATTTGCAAATTTTCTAAATGTTCTTGAATAGTTGCTCCGTGTACTATAATGTCATCCAGATGCACCAAACAAGCATGTGGCACCAACTCAGACAGTATTGTACGCATTAATCTCAGGAAAGGAGAAAGCATATTAGTTTGATCAAACGGCATGGCTTAAAATTTATATAGACCCTGACTCAAACTAATGCCAGAGTAATCAACGCATATATTCATATTATGGAAGTTATAGAGGTATATTGCATTTCTAAGTCATTGCCGATATTTTTAATGTTGAAAAATTGTGTTCTACATCACTCTGGTTTATTCTAACTATAAACTAATTGTCTATTACCACCAACATCATGCAATTATTAAATAAACCATATAATCAAAGAACACAATAAGAAACGATATCCTT